GTGGTGGAGGGGGAGGAGGGAATGGGGGAGGAGGACGTGGTGGAGGAGGAGGGGGTGGCTGGGCTGATATATCCAAAGAAGAACTTCTGAAAAATGGACGGGATTTAGATGGATGGGTGGAAACAGGAACACTGGCCGATGGTAACCTATATGTGGGCTTTTCCTGACCAGACATCTTTCCAGATACAGAATATGGAGTTACAGGTTGTTCCTTCATCTGAGGGGCTATAAAAGAAGAAGGTGTTTGGACCAACCCAGTTTCAGGCAAGCTAATTTTTGTTAGTTCAGCCTCAGACTCTTCCCTTTTATCTGTGTAAGCATCCAAAACTTCTAAAATAATTCCATCCCCAGTTTCCTTCTTGCCTTTTAGTGGATCTTTGTCACATATAGGTGAGTCAGTTGACATGGGGACAGCTTGTGACCTGTCAGCTTTAGCACCTACAGATTCTGTGACAGAAGGTGCTATACTAGAGAAGGAAATCACAATATGATCAACATTAGTTCTACTTTCTGGTGTGGTGGTCCGATCTAAAGATACACTTATATCTTCTGGATAGTCTATGATGCTGCCTGGAAAATAAGTTGATGAAGAAATTTCCTCGGAGTCTTCAAATTTAGTTATTACATCTGCTGGCTCTGTGTAAGCAGTGGTTAGGCTATCCAGGGTAGTGACAGGTGAGGAGCTATCTGTGGTGCAGACTGAAGAAATAGATGATGTGAGAGAAGGTGTGTCAGAAGGTGGGACAGATGCAGCACTTTCTGAAGGCTCAGAGTAGGTCAATATCAGTGATTCGTGGGCTATCATCTCTTGAATTTCTCTTGTATAATCAGTTACATATTCATCCTCGAGGTCTTCTGCTGAAAAATGTTGGGTTATCTTAACATCTGGGATAGAGAGAGTTGCACTGCTGGTTGAGTCAGTAAGAGATGCTCCAGAAAGGATACTTGATGTCAAAGATGTATCCTGCACCCTGTCAAAATCCATCGCAGACTCTGCCATGTCATCCCCGACAGTGGTCTGTGTGGGACTGGATCCATCTGTTACCTGCATCTGTTGTCGCCTCATGAGTTCTTCATAGGCAGTGTCAGCATCTAACAGTTTCTTTTCTTCACTGGTAGAAGTTACCATGGTTCCCAGATCCACTATCTCGTGGCTTTCCGGAATGATATAAGAGCTGGAAACTATGTCTTCTTGGGGCACAACAGAATGTAAGCTTTCTAACTCATAAAACTCTTTCTGGAGGTCTGTAATTTTCTGCATAGGATCGTCATAAATCTGTTCTGGGATTCTTATTTTTTGTTCTCTTCCTCTCTGCTGCATAAATCCATTTTGTTCTTCTTGCCTTGTGAGCAGACTGCCATCTACTGATCCATTATATGTATCCTCTACTAAAGATTCATAAATGTAGTCCTCTATTAACATGCCGCCATATAGTGGCTCTTTTTCAAACACGTCATCTCGTTCATTTGCAGATGGAAAAGCTTTATATTTGTGGGTTTTCTGCATCATTTCTTCATACATCTCCTCAGCACTTTTGAGAGCTTTCTGAACCCCTTCTTTCTGCATAACAGATTGCTCATCGGTTGGTGAGTACAAAGACACAGCTGTGGGCAGTTTATAAACTTTTTGGACTTCTATTATTTTCTCAGGGCTGATTTCAAACCCTTCTGGGTCTGATTCTATGCTAGGTGAGTATTCGGAACAAGAGGATCTATGGAGCTCCTCCATTTCTGCTGCCTGGCGCAGTTCTTCTGTGGGAGATGCGTCCTCAATGGGAGAGAGATTACTGGGTGGCGTCTTTGGTCTTTCTCTCCTCCTCTGAGCACGAAGTTCATCTTTGTCTTTCTTCGATTTCTTACTAGAACTCTTCCTTTGCTGCTGCTCTAATTCCCGCTGCTTCTCTTGCTCTTTTAGCAATTCTTCTTCCTCTCTCAATTCTTCTTCCTCCGATGAGTCTTCAATGGTGGGTAAAAGAGGGCCATGCGTCCTGTGCCGCGCTTTGCGCTGCTGCTTGCTCTCTTGTTTTTTGTGACTTGGGCTACTGTCACTGTCCTCGTCAAGTGAAGACACTGATGTAGGGGACGTACCAGGAGTGAAGCTGGATGCGTGGAGACTAGAGGATCCCTCTCCCCTGGATCTGTCTTCCGGTGAGTCTGTCAGGCTTTCCATTTCTAATTCAGGCTCTTCATCAAAATACAAAGCTGTTTTTTTCTGAGAGGATTCTGCCGAGTATTTATCGGCTATCGCACTGTTGAGTTCGATCGTCTTAAATCGACGTAACCCCCCTCCTCCAGCAACTACAAGTTCTTCGCTCTCTTGGCTTTTAGTTTCTCGGAATTTGAGTTCAGGACTTTCATCATATGTTTCGTCATCCTCGTCATGCCAGGAATGACGTCTCCCTGCATCATCATCGAAGCTAGTACTACTCTTGCGAGTCAGCCGTCTGTGCTTCCCTGCTGCGCTTTTCCCTTTCCCCTTTGTTTCTTCCCTCTTGTGGCTCTCAGTCACACCACCAATCTCTTTAAGTTGACTCCTAATGAACTCATCATCTTCAGAGCCAGAAGCATCCTCATCAGCACTCATTTCTATAATCTGTTTTCGAATGAAATCCTCCTCTTCCCCGGAACCTTGACTGTCTTCCTGTTTATACTCATCACTGCTTGATGAGCCAACACTAGTTCTCCGCTTCCTATGTGCAACCGGGGAATTTTCACTTTCACTGCTGTCTTCCACTGAATCATAGGATGCTCTTCTTGGACTTAGATCATCAGCTAGCTCAGGCTTTTCTTTATGGTCCTTCCTAGAAGGAAAGCCTTGTTGGCTATCCCTTTTGGAACTTTCCTTCTTTTCTTGGCTCTCTTTGTCCTCTTCTTCTGAAATAGTAATATCCTGTGTGTCAGATGGAATCTGAGATTTTTGCGCATCCCGAGGCTGCTCGGGAGAAACCTTCTGGGGCTGTGCTTTCATTTCCGATTTTTCACTAAGTGTACTTGCCTGAGCTTCCAGAATGGACAGTACTGTGCTTTCTAATTTTGCTAAGTCCGAAGGGCTGGAAGGGCTGCTTTCTTGTGAGAAAGAGTCCTTTTTGAGTCCTTTGAGCAAATCCTTTTCATCACTTGGTATAAGACTTGGGATTTCACCAAGAGAGCCTGATATTCCATCAGAAGAATATCCTGTGTCACTGAGACCTTGTGGGCTCTTGGGCTGCTGAGAACTGGGGGTATCTGATTTGTCCTCTTCCTTTTCCTAGCAGAAAGGGGAAAGACACAGGCAAATGCATTAGAGGCAAACTAATCACATGTCTTAACCATTATTGTTAAATAACCATTAATAATTGGGCAGCAACTATGGAAAAATTCAGCTATATAATGACAGTTTTTGATCTTTGTTCTCCTGAGATGGGGTTTCTCTGTGTAGCTTTGGAGCCCATGCTGGAGCTTGCTCTATAGTCCAGGCTGGCCTCTAACTCACAGAGATCTGCCTGCCTCTGTTTCCTGGGTACTGGGATTAAAGATGTGTACCACCACGCCCTGGCATATAATGACAGTTTTAAAAATGTGTGCATGAGAACAACATTGAGAAAAGTTGATATTCACTAGGTTAGGTTAATTCTGCGAGGCCCCTTTACATTTTAATTTCACTTTCCTCCAAATACATTATCTATAACAATACATTTACTTTGTGATGAAATTCATATTTTAAAAAGAAAAATGTCAGTTTCTCTTGCTGTGTGTATGTGTTCTTTTTCTTTAATTGAAAAGATTTTCATAAATATATTCTGATTATGGTTTTCCTACCACCAACTCCTCTGTGCTGAACAGTTTTATTTCAATTTGACTCAACCTAGTGTTATCTGAAGTGAGGGACCCTCAATCGAGAAAATGCCTCCATAAGATCCAGCTATAAGGCATTTTCTTAATTAGTGATTGATAGGGGTGGATCAGACCATTGTGGGTGGTGCCATACCTAAGCTGTGGGCATGGGATAAGCAAACCATGTGGAGAAAACCAGTAAGTAGCACTCCTCCATGGCTTTTGCATCAGTTCCTGCCTCCAGGTTCCTGCCCAGATTCAGTTTCTGCTCTGACTTGCCTTGGTGATAATGAGACTTGGAAGTGTAAGCTGAACAAACCCTTTCCTCTCCATGTCTCTTGGGCATGGCACTTCATCACAGCAAGAGTAACTCTAACTAGCACATCCTCCCAGATCTGTCCTATCTCCTCACCCACTTGTCCTGTCTTTCTCTCTCGTTCTCTTTAGAAAACAATGAGACAGAAAACAAAATCAAACTTCATGAGCCACTAATAAAAGGCTTTCCTGGATGGACAGCATTAACTCATCACATCCCACATGATGACACAGAACAGTGTTTGAAAGGACAAGACAGTCTCCAGGATTTCTTTAGTTAATACCATCTACCTATCACTCACAGTAAGCACCATGGTTATGGAGAAAAGTAAATCAAAATAGTCAAAATACGATTATTCATAATTTCATTTTGATGACATTATTTTTATACTTTATTTCTGCCTACATATATGGTAAAGCTCGACAATGTAATAAAATTTCATACATAGGAAGGGAAAATAAATACCATTGTTTGGAACAGCTCACTGACCATAATGGAAAGACACTATAGCTTTATAATATGATTTGTTGAAGTCTATCTTGACATTTTTGTAAAATAAGATTAAGACTCCATAGAATGTAACAAAGGAAAACAAAAAAAAAATTCATGAAATTCTAACACAAAATATCAAAGTATTTTCCCTACAGCTGCCTGTGCATGGCTTTATTCTGTGCCTAAACTTCTTTTGCTCCCCTGTGTGTATTCTACCTGATCATCCTGTCTTGTCCTGTCTCTGTCCCATGTGCTTCCCAGGGTTCCATTAGCACATTTGATGGGGATGCTGCTGTGCTCTATTCTGTATTAAAGGGCAGTAAGTGTATAAATGTTCATTCTATAGGCTTGTGGGACTAAGACAATATGTTAGGAGCAGCTGATGAGGAATCAGTTGGTTGCTTCTAATGCACATCACTGAAAGATTCAAAGGATACACTGAAAAATGATGTTCATTTTCCCCACTAACTAGATTTAGGTATGCATCCCTCGCAGAATAATATGCCCTAATTAACTACACAGTTTAGCTGCATAACCTGATCACTCAATGATCAATCAGGTCCTTTGCTTCACTGATTAAAGACACCCACAAATTAATCTTTATTACTGCTATTAATCATTTTTAAAATGATCTGTACATATCAGGACTTAGCAACCATTTTTCTTTCTTGTAGTTAACTGGTCCTTGGCACAGCTTCATTAATAACACTTACTAACAAGGGGAAATTAGATGCAGATTACAGTCCATAAGATGGATCTTGTTTTCCCTAATTATTTAACTTCAAAATGGGTGTTTGAAGCACCATAGACTAAGATAAGGTGAAAGGATTCATGTGAATATATGTGGACCATTTTCTCACCAATTTCTCATTGCATCAGATTAAAAGATTGGAAACTTATTCTCAGGTACTTCAGAAACTTCTAAGAGTGTATTTATTTAAAGAAAAAAATTAATCTACTTAGTGAAGTGATATTAAAAGATAAAAATGTAACAAGCACACTTTTGTATAACATATACAGCACACACATGGGTGTATAAAATGTGACATATTTTATAAATTTATTTATGTTTTTCATTTGAATCATCAGGAAATGGACATTTTTATTAACCTTTACACTTTTTGCAATTAATAGCATTTAAAATAATCCCTGGAATTCAAAACTAAGAATAAAATTTCATCTGGTTTCATTTCCCATACAAACTTTGTAACACTTGAAGTCAGGTGGTGAGAACAGTAACACTGTAAGCACAGATTTAAAATAGCAATGTTACTTTTTATTTCTGCTAAAGAAAACGTTTTCTATCTGTTTTTAATCATTAGCATCACATTCCAGCACACTAGCCTATATTATAGTTCATGTTCTCAATGCATAGAATTTTAGTTACTCAAGTTCTGCTAATCTATTTATTTAAAATAATCACCCCAAAATTTAAGGGGCTAAGCTTCAAGATTTTAAATGTACTAATGGATAGCAGGGATTGAAGCATCCCTTCCTGTGAGTGTCCTACCACTTGGACAGTAGACAAGTGAGAGAGAAGGCAGTAATGTGTTAGCACCACTTGAAACTCTTCTGATGGTGGTGTACTTTGTGGGAACCCAGTATGAGAAAATGCCCACAACTTCATATGTTCCATAATATTTGTCTGTGCTCTTTTCAGGAGAGTTAAAGCCAGTAGCACTCCACATTGAAGGACCGCAGAAGATTCTGAAGATTGTGAATTAAGAATTGAGTTCTAGGATTCATATAAAAAACGTGCAAAGACAGATAACACTAAGTGCTTAGCTAATTTTTCTAGACTTTATTTTAAATGAAATAAAAGAGCACAGGGTTATCTTCAATCATTTATAGTGAGTTTATGTTAAGATGGGCTGCAAATATGAGTAACTAAAGCACTCCAATCAAGATCGAGTCCATATAACTCAGCCCAAGAGAAAGACAAAATATTTCATCAGAACACTTGATTGCTTTTTTTACTCTGATTATGCAGTCACAAAACAATTCAGGCATTATATTCTATGTTGATAGATATCATGAATATTAACCATTCAGTTATTTTAAACAGAAACCAAAGTCTATTTTAAAATCTATGTTAATTTTAGTTTCCATATGGAGGACTGTAGTTTTTCAGTATAGTACATGAAATAAAGATTAACAATTTCCTGCTTGGACTCAAAACAACTCTGAGATACCACCTCACATCTGTCAGAATGGCTAAAATCAAAAATACCAATGACAATCTATGCTGGAGAGGATGCGGAGAAAAAGGAACACACTCATCCATTGCTGGTGGGAGTGCGAACTTGTAAGACCACTCTGGAAATCAGTATGGTGGTTGCTCAGAAAAATGGGAATCAGTCTTCCTCAAGATCCAGCAATTCCTCTCTTTGGTATATACCCAAATAATGCACATTCATACAATAAGGACACATGTTCAACCATGTTCATAGCAGCATTGTTTGTAATAGCCAGAACCTGGAAGCAACCTAGATGCCCCTCAACTGAAGAATGGATAGAGAAAATGTGGTACATTGATACAATGGAGTACTACTCAGCAGAAAAAAGCAATGGAATCTTGAAAATTGCCAGCAAATGGATGGAACTAGAAGAAACCATCATGAGTGAGGTAACCCAGTCACAAAAAGACAAACATGGTATGTACTCACTCATATATGGATTTTAGACATAGAGCAAAGGATTAACAGCCTACACTCCACACCACCAGATAAGCTAGGAAACAAGAAGGACCCTAAGAGAGACATACATGGTCACCCGGAGAAGGGGAAAGGGGCAAGATCTCTTGAGCAAATTGGGAGCATGGGGATAGGGTAGGGGGAGCTGCCAGAATGAGAGCAGGAGAAGAGGAGAGGAGAGAAGGCAATGGAGGAGCAGAAATATTGAGTTGGGGGAAGAACAGAGGAGAGCAGGATGAGAGATACCATAATAGAGGGAGCCACTATAGGTCTGAGGAGAGATCTGGCCCTAGGGAGACTTCCAGAGATCTATAAGGATGACACGAACTGACAATCCAGGCAATGGTGGAGAGGATAACCTAAACGCCCTTCCCCTAAAATGAGATTGATGACTACTTTTTATGCCATCCTAGAGCCCTCATCCAGTGGCTGATGGAAGCAGAGACAGACATCCACAGAAACACACTGAACTCTGGAACTTAGTTCCAGAGAGGGAGGAATGAAGATCAAAGGGGTCGGTACCAGGTTGGAGAAACCCACAGAAACAGCTGGCCTGAACAAGGGGAAACACATCAACCCCAGATACTGTCTGGGAGGCCAGTACAGGACTGATCCAGACCCCTGAACACAGATGTCAATGAGGAGGCCTCTGCACTCTAGGAGGCCACTGGTAGTGGATTAGTATTTTTCCCTGGTGTAAGAAGATACTTTGAGAGCCCATCCCATGTGAGGGATTGACATGTGAAACAAGCTTGTTCCTAATTTGAACTAAAAAATAATAAAAAAAATTTCCTGCTTGGATAAATAGGTTAAAAGGCAGAATTTTATAGTAATGTGACTTAGAAATACAAAACCAAAAAAGTTAAGGAGGTATGCTTTCAAATATATTTTATATTCAAATATATTCATTTTAATATAATACATTTATTTTATTTTTACTGAATAAACACATTTTGGAAATTTGAATAAAGAAACAGAATGGTATGGCAACAAAAAATATAAACAACACAACACTGAAACAACTGACAAATTGGTAAATGAATGAAAAACAGTAAAATACACAAGCTGTGAAAGTTACCTAAAATATTGTGACAAACGCTACTAGAGGAGGTGGATAATAAGGAAGGACCTATGTCAGATGTGTCACTGGAGAAAAGCCATCACAGGGAGTGGCTGTGGGTAGGGATTTTATGATCAGAACTGTACTAAAATCCCCATTCCGCTATTTTCCTCCAAGTATACTTGTATTTAGAGTGTAAAACCCAATTTCTCTATTTTTAAAGCAGACACCATAATGTTTATATTATCGATATTCCTGTAGGTTAGATAGGAGGAAATAGATTTTATAAAGTTCCTAGAATGTGTCAGGGAGTAAATGAGGAGTATTGCTTTGATTTCTAAATGGCAATATAAGAAGGAATCAAAGTAGAGAGTTCTACGGCTGGAGAGGTTGACTTTCAGTCACAGGGTGAGGAGATGGCACCAAAAGGACAGCAACTCAGGTGGGGCTTCTGTGATGGACCTGCCGCAGGGCACACAGAGAGAAGCTCAGAACAGCCCCAGAGGAGAAAAAACAATCCATGCATAAGAATCCCAGCAAGTGTTTGTGGTTTGGGTTTCTCACTGGTAGAGTATAGTGAGGGTTGAAGGGAAGTCATATTGCAGCCAGACACCATAGGGTGAAAAAGCCAAGCTAATCTATTTAAGCAGGACTCCCACTGTGGGTGTGCATAGCCTGACCTTATAGAAATGACTCAAGGCAGGAAAACAAAACTTTATAATGTTTGTGATATCATTTAAACCCAAGACAGAAAGTTTTATTTTTGATTTTGGAAACAGACTGATAGTATTGATAATATTGATGTTCTTTAATTTCCTGTTATTTGTTCACATGGTCAACAATATCCTAAAGGAAAATTGGAAGTTCTACTGTAAGAAAAAATATATAGTGAAATAATCACTTCATTTGTTCAGTGTTAATTTAAAACATATTGTTTGACAAAAAAAGAAAAAGAAACATGACTTATATTACATACTTTCAGCTAAAACATTTTCTATAGTAGATTAGTGGCAGATAAAACCATTATTCTTTTGTTTAAAAAGAAGAAAAGAGAAGTGCTGAGATATGAGACATGTTGACTATAAGTTTATTATAAGGCCCGGCAGAGTAGGGAGACTAAGAAGAGGAGAAGAACAGGGTAAATGGCTGACCGCCATGGCCGGTCGCCACAGAGAGAAAGCATAGGTGAGAGAGAGAGTAGAGAGGAAACAGTGAGGAAGCGAAGAGGAAACAGAGAGAGAGTAAATGGGCAGGGATCTGTCTTTTTAAAGGGGTCCTCTGCACCTGCATGCAGACTTAGTTCCCATGGAACCTTGGGCTGACCAGGGTACTGCCTGTTCCACCAGGTAACAGGGGCAGGCCAGCAAAATGCCTGAACCTTTCAAAAACAATAACAGACACACACACAAATGTCATGTGCTGATAAAAGTTACAAAGCAAAGAACTCACAAGTGTATCACCAGGGAACTACAAGCATTTGTCTAGAAACATACTAAGATAAGACAATTATTAAATGAGATCCCGCATAAAGTAAAATATTTTACAGTGCCAAAAAAAACTTAGTTCTGAAACACAACCATGGAGACACATATGTACCTGTGAATTTAAGAGTCAGACATGTGACTTCTCTAGATAGAAAAGAAGGAAAAGTCAAAAGAAACATTTGGAGATTAGCAAAAAATATTCCTGGAAATGACAAATGTAGAAACCACAAAAGATGACCATCATGAGAAGAAAAGGGAGGGAGATGGGTTAGCAGGCACCTGTCTGAGTGAACACTAAATAGCAGACTCCCGCAAACTCATTCATAAACCTGGAATTTTAATGGATGTAAAATAGGTAATGTTTTATGTATCATTGGAGTCCTCTATGACTTGAAGTTATTTAATTAGATATAATCTATTTGGTGGATCTCTAAATTTTTGTATATACACACCCACACACACACACACACACACACACACACACACACACACACAAATCAAAGCAAAAAGTCCATCACTTTAAGAGGGAGTAATGGGGGCTTAAGGGGGCTAGAGGGAACAGATGGGAGGGTAGAAAGGGGGGGTCATGTAGTTAGATTTTAATGAAAATTAATATACCTTGAAATAATAGAGTTCCTTTAAAATGATAGAATTGCTTATGTTAATATCACTTAAAATGGGATATTCTTGAAGCTTCTCACTAAATGGACAGTATGTATTATTATTATATACTATATGCAGATTATAACTAATTCTTCCACATTAAGTATATGCCACTAAATCATGAGAAAAATGTAGACTTAACTATGAATATACAAATATATATACACTATATATGTATATATAGTATATATATTTACTTTCATTTTGGATTTTGACCATGCCTATTATTTTTAATCAAGAATTTTGTGGCCAATCACAGCTCAGAAACCTATCAAAAGGAAAAATCAAACAACAAAAACAACAAACTGCCTCTTACCAAACCAGCTATCTTAATGATACATTATTTTAGGTAAAGAGAAAACTGACTTACACACCCATTGTGTAACATGGAGCTCTAGGAAATCTTTTCATTCTTTCCTCTATGATTTAGAGAATTTTATTTCTATGCTTTATGGAATTCGACTGAGGTATCAAAATGCCATTGCTTTTCGTTTAAGTAAAAATAAAATAGAGCTCCCTGAAACGTAATTCAGGATTTAAAGGTTTTTGCATCCGTCCTACCCATGATCAGCTGAGGTTCTAAGTAAACACAGGGGACTGCATATATCAGACTGCGACTGCAGGAAATACAACTTACTGTTTTTTCTTTGTTGGGATCCACTTGGTCAGACTTTGCACTGCCTTCTACCTGGGGCTGTTTTGCTTGGCTCTCCTTCTCTCCTTGCTTGGGCAAAGGCTGAGGTGTGTGGCCTGGCTGATCTCCAGTCCTGGCTTCTGGCTGCCCCTCTTCCTGCAACGCCTTTGTGACCACTGATCCCGTGGGTTTTTCTTCAGGAATTTGTACTTGAGCTTGAAGAATTTCGTGTTTCTCTTCCCCCTCCAAGGCCAATGGCTTTACTTCTGGGGGTAATTTCTTGTCTTCAGGGGTTGGCTTCTTTCCCTCGAGTGGTGGATTTTCTTCAGCAGAAGCCAACTTTTCTTCGGCAGAGGGCTCCTTTCCCATTTTCTCTTCAGAACGTGGCTTTTCCTCTTCAGAGGATGATTTCTTTTCTTGCAGAGCTGAAACTTTGCTTTTCTCTAATTTAGTCTCTTCTAGCTTTTCATCTGTGGTGACCGTTGGGGGTGTTTTCTCTATTGATACTGTTTCTTTTTCTGGAATAAGTTTTTTAGCTTCAGTTTTTACTTCTGTTTCTTTCTTTTTACCTTTCATATGACTCCCTGTTTTCTGAGATGATGGGTCTGCAGGGGCAGGCACAGGGGATGCCTTGGATCCTGACGATACAGGTGGCATTTTGCCCATATCTCCAAGTTGTCCTGATATTGCTCTGTTCGTCTGGCAATTTAAACAAAGCCATTCTTGAATCTGCAAAATGGACATCAATGAACAGATTAGGATTATTGCAGACTTTCTATTCTAGTGCATTAATGAAGATGAAAATTGAAAATGTCTAGTTGATCTGTTGAAACAGGGTAAGTCAGTTTTCTAAATCAATAAAACACTATTAAAAATGTGAAAAGATTACTTAAAATAAAAAAGTGAACAAAATCTTCAGTGACTACCAGTTTCTATGTTCATCACTACTAAGAAAAAGAGACAGGGATAGAAGAAGGAACTTGAGGAGGACCCAGAGAAATACTTATTTAGGTTGTTGCAGTTGAAAGGAACCTGTGAGTTTGAAAGAAAAATTGCTTTAAGCCTAGTATCTTAAAACTTAGTATTTCCATTATAAATTTACTCAAATGCAATTACATTTCCTAATAATTTTCAATTTGTTCAAAATTAAGCAAAGGTTATTTGAATTCAGTTTACCACCTCTTTTTTCTCTTGGCATCAACCAAATAAAATTCCATTGAGTAGCATAGAGTTTTCAAGACTCACTTGTATGAAACTCTCTATCTTCTTTCTAATTAGTATAGAATTCAATTTTTAGTATTAATTACACATATTCATCAATTAAGCAGAATGTAATCATAGATCACATTGTTTGGCTTTTTTTTCCTAAAAGTATTCTGATTTTCTGACTGAAATGTTTCCCTTTGTGACTACTGCTGAAGGCATACTAAGTTGTAACACCCTTCAGGAGATGATCGTAGGTGTACTCGAATATACAGTTTCCCAGGGAACTATTTCAGCAGAGCACCAAGTGAAGAAAAGAGGACCCACCATTTGGAAAAACAGCCAGCTCACTGTTTCTGCAATCTAAGTCATGAAAACTATTCTCTGAAAAGGACACAGGAAAACAATCACACAGCAGGCAGTTGTTAGGCTCAGAGTAGACATTATCCTTGACATCTGTGTTTTGTATTTTGTCCCCCATTATATATATTTTAATGTAAAAGATAAAGGCTGTTGCTTCTTTCTAGTCATTACCATTTATTGTGTATTTATTATGCAAGAAACAAGGTGGGAGGGTCCTATAAATAAGTCTGCCTGCTTTCTTATGCCACATTGTCTCCATATAAGTTCAATTTCAAATTGCTTTTCATACTGGCTTCTCTCTCTAGGTGCTTGATTAAAATCCTTGCAGAAAATTCACTTGCTGTAGTAGAATACTATTAGAGGAAAGTTTCATTTTGTGCCTGCTTTCGATTTTTTGGAGACTTTAAAAGTGATGCTTAATATATTTGATGATTTTGTAATCTGTAAGGGGTTATAGATCTTTAGTTTCTTATAAAAATACAAAGATGAAAGCCAACTGTTAAGTTCTATAAGCCCTGCCTTAAAACATTAGGATGCATTTGGGTGCCTTTGCTTTTGGTGTGTATGACCCCTCAATATCAATCCTTTCTTAAATTCCCATGAAAGTATCTCTGATGTGAACTATGGTGTTATGTAACAACCAGGTCCACAAGTCATGGTAAAGAAACTGACTTGATCATTGTCTCACAGTGAGAGCCATAGCTCTGTGCTGAATAGTCCCCAGAGGATAACACCTACAGAACACCAATCTTGATCTGGGCTGTGGTTTCAAAAACCATGATGTGATTGTGCACATATTAACATATTGTCATTATTCATTTTTTCAACTTGAAACTTCAAAAAAAAAAAAAGAACAGATGAAAATAGTAGTCTCACAGTACCTTGTCACAAGGATTCTAAAAATCACATGCAGGTGTAAACTCAGTAGTCTCATGAGGACATGTCCCAATGTAAATAAGCTGGGGACTTTCAATCTAGCAGGAATGCAGGCTTCATTCTATTGGGAAGTTTTATCTATTATAAAATTCTGATTATTTTATGTGAAATTATTCTTACTTAGTTGCCATATATTGAGGAAATGGTAAGTATCACAGAGCACATGACTTTTATTAAAAAGGAAATGTGTTGAGAAAATGAAGCACATTTTTATTTGGGAAATGGTATACTCAGTATTTTCATATCTTTTTGAAATTGAGGTAAGAAGCTTACCTTTAGTGTATCCATCTAATCCATTATGTCAAATAAAACACTTCAGTTCTCCAACTTACAGATTGTTTGGTAAACTTTTAAAGCAGTATTGACTATACCACCAATATCTCCCACATGAACAGATGATATCTCAGAGATAATACCCAGCTACCAATCCTGAAACCTACAACAGTTTACTGCCTGGAAGATATACTGGTGAAAGAGTAGAAAAAAAAATGTTATGGGAGATAATTAACCACTTTTTGGTTAGATTTCTGTCACACGCCACATGTTGGATTCTATATCAGGCAATGTCAATGGGGCCAAGATTCTGAGGCTAGTTAAGTCACAGAAGTATGGGGAAACTCTACTACTATTATTCTGCTAAGACAACATACAATATACTGTCTCCTTATGGTATATTGTTATACAGATAGTGCCCTTCTCCACTCTCATCAGAGAAGCTTCCCTTTACAGCAATTAACACTGAAATGGACAATGTGCAGAGAATAATGGACTTTGGAGTCCTATATACAGCATCTGTACCACACTTCTGAAGTTAGGGCTCAGAGATCTGTGCAGAAGAGGGCATGGAAAGATTGTAAGGGCCATAGTTGTGGATGACCTCAAGGAAAAGCATTTTCCAGACACAATAGGGCAAATGCATCTGGTGACTTACATAGACTATGACAACATTCACAAGGCCTGTACAAATTCAAGCCAGAAAAAAATCCCAGCACAGAAGAGAGGAAGTAAGCATAGTATCCTACCCTATCCTAGAAGCTGCTTATGATGTATATTTACAGGGAGAAGGAAATTCAATTTTCTTCAATGGAATGATACTAGGTATATAAACCATACTGTGAGGCAGGTCCCATTCTCAGTAGTAGTTGGCCAATACAAATTGGACTCTATGTTTGTTTGCTTGTTTTAAAAGAGAGAAAAGTATATGAAGTTGAATAAATAGCGTAAGGAGGACCTGTGAGGACTTGGGGAAGGGAAAAGAATAAGATCAAAATGTATTGTGATTTTTGTATATACAAGTCAACTCTGCACCTAAGGTTCAGAGAATATCATGGAAGATGAGCAATAAAGGTTTTAAGATCCAGAAAACCAGAAAATCTGTTATGAAATTGGTTCTCCTAGAAATGAAAGGAATCTTCACCCATAATCCTTCAACAAGGCCTGAACACATACTACACCAATATACATGCTAAAATGAAAGTGGGGAACCTCATGAGGCCCCACCCATAAACAAAGAACTACAGGTTACTCAATGTTGAAAGTGGGGGAAACAGTCTTCCCTAAGGATGATCCTCCTATTTGACTGTCCAATACCAAGTAGGCAACACTGACATGTAAGTAACGTTAAACATACCCAATGTGCTGTGCTTAAATATTTAGGCATATATATATATATATATATATATTCAAGTCAAATATTTATATACATAATATATAATATATATCATATCATATATTAACATCTGGATTGTAAAACCTTTCATTCTAATCTTCCATTATATCCTCTGAGCTACTTCTCCAGCACCCTATGTGTCTTCATGCTGCCATGTCCCCCACCATGATGAAAATGGGCTAAACCTCAGAAAAATGTAAGCCACCCCTTAAAAGTTTTTCTTTATAAGAGTAGTTGTGGTCATGGTGTCTCTTCACATCAATAGAAACAACAACTAAGACAGAAGTTGATACTAGGAGTGGGTCATTGCTGTGATAGACCTGACCATGTTTTGTTTGGAGGAATTTGGACATTGGTAGTTTGGGTTAGGAAAGCAGTGGAATGCTTTAAACACTGCTGAGTGGGCCATACTAGTAGCAGCATGGAAGACAGTGTTGATAAGAATGACTTAAACTGTGGGGGGCAGTGGCTCAAGAGGTTTCAGAGAACAGTAATATTAATATGTGGTAGAGTTGGTTCTTGTGATATTTTGGTAAAGAATGGGATTGATTTTTGCCCTTGTTTGAGGAGTCAGCCTGAGGCCGAAGTGAAGAGTTTTGGATTAATTCCATTGGCAAAGGAAATCTCAAAACAGCCTAATGTGGTGATATTTTGTTTATGATCTAACAAGTAAAGCTTGCCTGAAGATCAGAGTTTAAAGCTAGCTAGCCACAGTAGTCATCCATAGAGGCCAGGAAGTGGTGGTATACACTTTGAATCCCAGTAGCCACACTAGTTAGCCATCAAGGCTGGGCAGTGGTGGTTGCATGCCTTTAACCCTAGCACTAAAGAGGAATATAAGGAAGGTGGAGACAGGACTGCAGTGTATTCTGTCTGCAGTCACACTAAGGACAGGATCATCCCTTTTGGTCTAAGCCTTGATAGAGTTAAGAACTCTCTAGTAGCTGGCTGTGAAGGGACTATCTCCCCATTTCGGCAGCCATAAGAGCCGGACACGTGCTTTTCTGACCTTGCCTTGGTCACTAGAGGTTAGGTGCCTGCCTTGTGGCAAAGAACCAATCAGGTGGTCCTATGCTTTACGGCACTGGGTGTGCTTTATAGACAAGTGCACAGCAATGATGCGAAGAGCATAGCAACCACCCTGTGAGGGCCTATGGGCCATAACAACCAATTGGCCAATCAACACAGGGCAATCGAGGCACACCAATCCTGAGCCTGTGCATACCCCTAGACACTCCCTTATGCTGCCCTACAAGATTGCGCAGCAGCTTCAAGCCGTCTTTTTCTAGCCGTCTGCCATGGCGGGTGGGTGAAAGACCCGAGCTAACATGGGGTTAGCTCGTAAAATTACAATAAAGCCTCATGCAGTTTGCAGCAAGTTTTCGAATCTGCCTGATGATTGGGGTGACGGGGGTCCTGGGCTGGGATCCCGGAGGCCTGAGTTTTCTGGGGGTCTAACAGCTGCTTTGCTTTTCTTATCTTCAGCTTGAAACCTAATATCTGTCTCTTTATTATTCATGCTATAACATAATATAGACTCTGTCATATGGTTGTTAGT